GTACATGTCGAGAGCAAGCCAAATGCAACGGAAATATACTTACTCCTTCTATACCATGCAAGGGCGGTAAGGCCTGTTGCGAAAAAGGAAAGAAATGCAAAGCTCTAGGAGGTACATGTCGAGAGCAAGCCAAATGCAACGGAAATATACTTACTCCCTCTATACCATGCAAGGGCGGTAAGGCCTGTTGTGGAAAAGGAAATAAATGCAAAGATTTAGGGGGTAGGTGTCGAAAAGAAGCCAAATGCAACGGAGATATACTTACTCCCTCTGTACCATGCAAGAGTGGTAAGGTCTGTTGTGAAAAGGGAACAACTTGTAAATCATTAAGTGGACAGTGTAAAAAGGAGGGTAAATGTACAAGCAAAGTGTTAACCCCCAGCAAGAAGTGCAAAGCTGGTAAGGTATGCTGCTTAATCCGCACCTGTCGCGACCGAGGAGGGAAGTGTAAGAAGGAAGGAAAGTGCAACGGTAGAATCGTCAAGGTGAAGAAGCCATGCAAGGAACCCAAAGTCTGCTGTCTAGGTAAGTGAAAGGAAATTGCGTAAAGCACAGACACACAATAATATATTTACGTGGCCGTAAACCTACATGCACTTGATATCTTTACTGCATTGGTATCGCTATAATCATAATAAAATGAGTTCAGTGATGATAATAATAGCCATATTGACATTTTTAAGAGTTATGGTAATGACAGGAAGACAAGGGAGAAAAAGAAAAAAAGCCGTAATGTGACATAAAACCAATGACACTAATGACACTATCCAAAACACTAACCAGACGACATTAATAACTGCGTCATAACAAGCAATAAGGATATTGACATAAATGTGCAATACATTAAACAAGCAATTTGCTTCACTAACCTGTATTCGTATTAATAATCAGAATGGCAGTGATAATAATCATAATGCATCGTTTCTAATTAAAGCATTGATAATGCTAACATAATGGTAATGAACACGATTCAGATACAAATAGACAGGTAAACCATGATCATTCTTACCTTTTGACACTATGAAGAAGCAATAATGCCGATAATAATGATTATCATGATAGTAATAGTGATAATAATGATTATCATTATCATTGTTATTATGACAATAATAAGAAATGCAAAGGTAATAATATAATAATGGTTGGTACAAATAATTATATGATACAGTGATAATGATAACTATGATAATGACTGATGGTTGTTATTATAATGATGATGATAATAGTAATAACGATGTTCATGATAATGATAACGATGAAAATGTTACTGATGAAAACAACGATAAAGTTATTAACATTTATATTGAAAAGATTATTACAAAAGGAAAATCAAGATATCAGCAAAAGTAATTATTATTGTCCCATAGAGGTTAAAAGATTTTTTCTCTCTCCCTCCGTTTCTTTTTACGTTGGGAACACTAATCGAACTAATTGTTGTTTGCATCTAATCTCAATAGATATTAACGATTTTCTGTTTTCGATCACCAGAGAAAAACGGCCTAGAAACCACGACAGAACCAGGACCACAAACGACCGCTGGTCCGGGACCGCAAACGACCGCTGGTCCGGGACCGCAAACGACTGCTGGTCCGGGACCGCAAACGACCGCTGGTCCGGGACCGCAAACGACCGCTGGTCCGGGACCGCAAACCGCTGTCCGACGCCGCGTGCTGGTCCGGGACGCAAACGTCAGCTGGTCCGGGACCGCAAACGAACCTGGTCCGGGACCGCAAACGACCGCTGGTCCGGGACCGCAACAACCGCTGGTCCGGGACCGCAAACGTCCGCTGGTCCGGGACCGCAAACAACCGCTGGTCCAGGACCGCAAACGTCAGCTGGTCCGGGACCGCAAACGACCGTTGGTCCGGGACCGCAAACGTCAGCTGGTCCGGGACCGCAAACGACCGCTGTCCGGGACCGCAACGACCGCGTCCGGACGCAAACCACCGCGTCCGGGACCGCAAACGACCGCTGGTCCGGGACCGCAAACGTCCGCTGGTCCGGGACCGCAAACGACCGCTGGTCCGGGACCGCAAAACGACCGCTGGTCGGGACCGGCAAACGACCGCTGGTCCGGGACCGCAAACGACCGCTGTCCGGGAAACGACCGCTGGTCCGGGACCGCAAACGTCAGCTGGTCCGGGACCGCAAACGACCGCTCCGGGACCGCAAACGTCAGCTGGTCGCTGGCCCGGGACCGCAAACGACCGGACCGCAAACGACTGCTGGTCCGGGACCGCAAACGACCGCTGGTCCTGGACCGCAAACGTCAGCTGGTCCGGGACCGCAAACCACCGCTGGTCCGGGACCGGAAACCACCGCTGGTCCGGGACCGCAAACGACCGCTGGTCCGGGACCGCAAACAACCGCTGGTCCGGGACCGCAAACAACCGCTGGTCCGGGACCGGGAACACCGCTGGTCCGGGACCGCAAACGACCGCTGGTCCGGGACCGCAAACAACCGCTGGCCCGGGACGCAAACGACCGCTGGTCCGGGACCGCAAACGATGCTGTCGCTGGTCCGGACCGCAAACGACCGCTGGTCCGGGACCGGAAACCACCGCTGGTCCGGGACCGGAAACCACCGCTGGTCCTGGGCCGCAAACCACCGCTGGTCCGGGACCGCAAACAACCGCTGGTCGGGACCGCAAAACCGCCGGGACCGGGTGGTCCGGGACGGAAACCACCGCTGGTCCGGGACCGGAAACCACCGCTGGTGCGAAACACCGCTGGTCCGGGACCGCAAACAACCGCTGGTCCGGGACCGCAAACGACCGCTGGTCCGGGACCGGAAACCACCGCTGGTCCGGGGCCGCAAACAACCGCTGGTCCGGGACCGCAAACAACCGCTGGCCCGGGACTGCAAACGACTGCTAGTTCAGGAACGGAAACAACTGCTGGTCCGGGACCACAAAGTACTCCTGGATCGCAATCAACTGCCACAACACTTGATGATAATAAAATAGGCACAGACACAACCACTGCCACTACAACTGATTCAACCACTGCCACTACGACAGGCACAACCACTGCCATTACAACAGATTCAACAACTGCCACTACAATAGGCACAACCACTGCCCCTACAATAGATACAACCACTGCCACTACAACAGATGCAACCACTGCCACTACAGCAGACTCAACCACTGCCATTACAACAAGCACAACCACTGCCACTACAACAGATTCAACCACTACCACTACAACAGGTACACCACCACTACAACACACAACCAGCACTACAACAGATTCAACCACTGCCACTACAACGGATACAACCACTGCCACTACAACAGATACAACCACTGCCACTACAACAGGCACAACTACTGCCACTACAACAGATTTAACCACTGCCAGTACAACAGGTACAACCACTGCCACTACAATAGATACAACCACTGCCACTACAACAGATGCAACCATTGCCACTACAACAGGCACAACCACTGCCACTACAACAGACTCAACAACTGCCACTACAATAGACACAACCACTGCCACTACAACAGATGTAACCACTGCCACTACAACAGATACAGCAACTGCCACTACAACAGATACAACCACTGCAACTACAACAGGCACAACCACTGCAACTACAACAGGCACAACCACTGCCACTGCAACAGATACAACAACTGCCACTACAACAGATACAACAATACAACAGACACTAACTACTGCCACTACAACAGGCACAACACTGCCACTACAACAGACACAACCACTGCTACTACACAGATACAACACTGCACTACAACAGGCACAACCACTGCCACTACAACAGATACATCCACTGCCACTACAACAGATACAACCACTGCCACTACAACAGGCACAACCACTGCTACTACAACAGGCACAACCACTACAACAGATTCAACCACTGCCACTACAACTGACACAACCACTGCCACTACAACAGATACAACCACTGCCACTACAACAGGCACAACCACTGCCACTACAACTGATACAACCACTGCTACTACAACAGATTCATCCACTGCCACTACAACAGCCACTACAACACAACCACTGCCACTACAACAGTACAACCACTGCCACTACAACAGGCACACCACTGCCACTACAACAGATACAACCACTGCCACTACAACACAACCACTGCCACTACAACAGATACAACCACTGCCACTACAACCACCACTACAACAGCCACTGCCACTACAACAGATACAACCACTGCCACTACAACAGATACCACAACACCACTGCCACTACAACAGGCACAACCACTGCCACTACAACAGATACAACCACTGCCACTACAACAGATACAACCACTGCCACTACAACAGATACAACCACTGCCACTACAACAGACACAACCACTGCCTCTACAACAGATACAACCACTGCCACTACAACAGAAACAACCACTGCCACCACAACAGATACAACCACTGCCACTACAACTGATACAACCACTGCTACTACAACAGATACAACCACTGCCACTACAACACAACCACTGCCACTACAACAGATACAACCACTGCCACTACTACAACCACTGCCACTACAACGGATACAACCACTGCACTACAACAGATACAAACCACTGCCACTACACACAACCACTGCCACTACAACAGATACAACACTGCCACTACAAACAGAACAACCACCACTACAACAGATACAACCACTGCCACTACAACGGATACAACCACTGCCACTACAACAGATACAACCACTGCCACTACAACTACAACACTGCACTACAACAGATACAACCACTGCCACTACAACAGATACAACCACTGCCACTACAACAGATACAACCACTGCACTACAACACAACCACTGCCACTACAACGATACAACCACTGCACTACAACAGATACAACCAACTGCCACTACAACGGATACAACCACTGCACTACAACCAAACCACTGCCACTACAACAGATACAACCACTGCCACTACAACAGATACAACCACTGCCACTAAACAGATACAACACTGAACATACAACACTGCCACTACAACGGATACAACCACTGCCACTACAACAGATACAAACCACTGCACTAAACGGATACAACAACTGCCACTACAAACAGTACAACCACTGCCACTACAACAGATACAACCACTGCCACTACAACAGATACAACCACTGCCACTACAACAGATACAACCACTGCCACTACAACGGATACAACCACTGCCACTACAACAGATACAACCACTGCCACTACAACAGATACAACCACTGCCACTACAACTACAACCACTGCCACTACAACGGATACAACAACTGCCACTACAACAGGCACTGCACTACAACCAACCACTGCCACTACAACGGATACAACACTGCCACTACAAACAGATACAACCACCACTACAACGGATACAACACTGCCACCTACAACAGATACAACCACTGCCACTACAACGGATACAACCACTGCCACTACAACGGATACAACCACTGCCACTACAACAGATACAACCACTGCTACTACAACAGATACAACCACTGCCACTACAACGGATACAACAACTGCCACTACAACAGATACAACCACTGCCACTACAACTACAACACTGATACAACCACTGCCACTACAACCACTGCCACTACAACAGATACAACCACTGCCACTACAACAGATACAACCACTGCCACTACAACGGATACAACCACTGCCACTACAACAGATACAACCACTGCCACTGATACAACCACTGCCAACTACAACGGATACAACAACTGCCACTACAACTACAACCACTGACTACAACATACAACCACTGCCACTACAACGGATAAACAACTGCCAACTACAACTACAACCACTGCCACTACAACGGATACAACAACTGCCACTACAACAGATACAACCACTGCCACTACAACAGATACAACCACTGCCACTACAACAGATACAACCACTGCCACTACAACAGATACAACCACCTACAACAGATACAACCACTGCCACTACAACAGATACAACCACTGCCACTACAACGGATACAACCACTGCCACTTCAACAGATACAACTACTGCCACGACATCAGCTACAACTAGTGGTTAATCAGCAACTTTCATTACAATTCCCGCAAGCACTGTTGAAATTATTACAAGAACACCAACTACAGCTACAAACTTTACAAATCTAAGCCTGATCCTCGTAAAATGGATTCTACAACATGCAATTTTACCACAACTGATACTTACATCGCAGCCTCAACACCTCACTTTCTCCAACTCATCAACTAACCTGATTTCACTCAAGTTTATTCCAGTGCAAATGACTTCACTACGAATTAGTCCACGGTATATACAAACGAATCTACAACAGTTGAACTACCTACAGTTTATTCCACTGATCAAACTACAGCTGATTACACTACATTTCATTTCTAAATAACTAAATCGGGTGATGCTTATTCCACTACAGCCGAGTCTAGCAGTTCCCGAAAGCTGGATCCCCTGGAACCGATTTCGCAACACACGAATCAACTGATTCTTATCAAACTAGAGCTTAAAAAAAAAAAAAAAAAAAAAAAAATCACTGAAGGTGACTCCACAGCATCTTATACTTTTAAAACATAATCAACTTCCGCTGAATCATTCATTCCACTACAATAGATTACACTATTCCATGTGATTCCACCATAACTGAATATAGCACCGCTGATTCTTCTACAACTCATTCTGCTACAGTTGATTCTACAATAACTGATTCCACCGCAGGTGATTTCACTATAACCTATTCTACTACAATCGCTTCCATAATGCATATTATTCTACTACAAACGATTCACTACCAAGGATTATCTTACAACGGATACAAGTGATTTCCCCCAAATTTACTATAAATGATCATGCTCCCTGTTCCAGCACATCCAGCTCCCCATTAACCTAATTCCACAACATGCGCCACTCTTATAACAGCCCTTACCGGTGGCACTTCAGCTAGACCTACGGCTATAACTACAATCATTGCACTGCCTATTCTACAGTTGCTATCATTCCATCTATCGGTGTTACATCGTCTGCCTCGACCGCATTACTTCTTCGGTACAAACTGACACCAAAAACTTCAATAGGTTCCTCTGCCTTCCCGGCATCCTCACTTGTCAGGAAGGGTAATGTCTACAAGCTATATGTTCCTGTCTCCATTTGTGTGATCGTGAAAATTGTGGAGTATAAATAGGACGACTGTAAGACGCTGTGAGAAGTAGCAACATGCAGCTGGAAAACCTTTTCCTCTAGAACTGAAGAATGGCCCAGCCAGGGTCAACGGCCTCGCAGTCGAGCTTGTCGACTGGATCGCAGAGTTGAAAACGAGATAGAACGGGAAACTGAAACCGAAAATATGCATATATACGTATATATTTGTTTACCCTTATTTACATATATTTCTGTATATATCATACATATGGATATAGGCAGATAATATGCATATTGTATAAATATACCTCAACAATATACATATATATACATATTCATATTATACATATCTATCTTTTTATCTATGTATAACAGACATCTACCCATCTACCCCCCCCTCTCTCTCTCTCTCTCTCTCTCTCTCTCTCTCTCTCTCTCTCTCTCTCTCTCTCTCTCTCTACATACACACACACACACACACACACACACACACATATATATATATATATATATATATATATAATATATAATATATATATATATATATAATGCATCATACCATACCATCTTAACGACTTCCAAGACCATGAAATGTAATGTAGTCATTCACTAATCATTTTGTTTGCCTAAAGTTTTCAAACAATTTAGCTTAACTCATTACTAGATTTACTATTGCTTACACAATAGTCTGTGCATCTTATCATAAAAGCATGTAAATTGTACACTTGTCTCATACGAATCTGTTCTTGCTACTTGAGTCTATATGGGTTTATGTGATATAAAACATCCCTTATTATAATCTCTGATGAACGCATGTCTGCGGAATAATTACGGTAATCCGAACAGGTAGCGAGGGTGTTAGAACATATGGATAATTTCTATATTACATTCTTATTGAAAGTATCAATACAAAGTGAGGTATGGCATATTTTGGCAAGTAGATTTTGTATTGGTTAAGAATTATACGATTACTTATTCATGAAGTATTATCTGTATTAAATATGTATCAAATAAAAAAATAGATTTAGTATGTGTTATTATACCCCCAACAAAATACACTACTTATAAAGACAATGATAGAAAAAAATAAAAAATAAAAATAATAATAATTTCTTAATTACTTTCCTTGCTTGATCCATCATAAATTCCCTATGGATTAAGAAATAAACCAATCAGCGGGCAGATGAGACAGAGGCAGGAGGGAATCTGAGATGCAGAATGTTTAAGATCTGGATGGATTTCATCCTGAGGTAAGGTGACGCTCCCTGTCGGAACCCGAGAGCAGAGGATTAACTTGCAGAGGTTATCTCTTGAAATTCTGAGCACCCGTTTGAGTTTCATTTTTACTCAGTCTTTCCTTGTGTTTCACAAAACTGAAAGACAGCAAGGTATCCGCGTCCCTGCAGACTGAATATGGCGGATTCATAGCGGGGGCGAAGCTACGCCACACACGCGATGCGCGCGATGCGAAGCGACGCGGCTTTCAATCGCCTCGGTGTATTTTCAGGGATTGGTTACGAAGCCACTCGTGATATGCTTGCTACGCCGCTCGCATGGCTTGATCAGTCGCCGGGTCGATGATTTTTCAGAGTAGCCACCAAGTTCACTAATGACTTTGCAAATTTCTTCGTTCATGTTATATACTCTCAGATATACAGACTAGTATACTTTTCCCATACGCGATTTTTTACCAACATAGCTACCTGTAATTGCAATTCTCCGCTTCTTTCCACGCTTATCTACACAGTATGCCCCCGCCTTTAAAGAAAGACGACATGACTGTGTACATCATGCTTTTTTTAACTTTAAGAGTTGGATTTGGCGTTACCAAAGAGGCCCTAATTCTGTATAAATAAGGACAGTATTGGAAACCTTGTTTATGCCCCACGAGAACAGTATGTGAGAGAATGAAAAGCAGGCTAATAAAAGATTGAAGAAAGAGGAAATGCGATCAGTATAGTTTGAATCAAATTTTCTCTTTACTATATATACATGTGTGCGTATTATACATACATACATATATAAGTGTGTGTGTGTGTGTGTACGCGCGCGCATTATACAGATGTACATACACACACACACATATATATATACATATATGTGTGTGTTGTGTATATGTGTATGTATGGGTATGCATGCACATATACATATACATACATACATACATACATATATATATATATATATATATATATATATATATATATATATATATGTACATATGCGTGTGTACATATGTATATATACATATTTTCTATATACTTTTACACACATACTCATATACTCATATATACATATGCACACACACACACACACACACACACACACACACACACACACACACACACACACATATATATATATATTTATATATAAACACACATATACATGAGTGTATGTATGTGTATGTTTGCACGGCACGAGGGCAACCAGACGACTGACTCTCACTGACAGTTGCCCGGCGCACTCGCCCCTTCAAGCCCGAAACGGCCCTTTCGACATTTTAGGGCTGCTGTACATCTGTAAATTGGTAGTTCATACATGCACTGCACACAGGGCATATACCACAGGGTATATACGGGCAACATAATACGTGACACAATCAACCTATAGGCCTACAGTCACATAACATTATATCCCTCCCTGATCTCCAAGATCACAACACAATCTAAGAGGCTGGCGCCGCAGACGATCACTTCTACGGAGGTCGAGTTCTTGCTCTTTTGCCAACCCTGGCTCCTCCTGCTGTCCAGTCTTACATGGTTGTTGTGCTGCTATGTCGGCCTCCAGTAATGGGCCATCGTTATCTCCATCAGGGACTGGTTGGTCGTAGTCG